CATCATATTGAACCAATTGTCGAATCTCTTCGTCGAGAGACACGTCAATTTAATATCACATTCATTTTAAGTCTCGACATAATCAATATGTCGGAGAATGATATAATTACTAAAGTGATTTTTTTTAACTAACAATAATCCCTATAACATATAAGACTTTGTTAATTTTTCATAATATTTTTTATTTTTATTTATTTTTTTATATAAAATGGGGAAATTAGGCCTTTTGGGCCCACTGAGCATTCGTTACCGCCTCACTTTATTCCCAGATCGGGGAAGCAGCTGCCCCTTCTTCCTTTTCTTTTCTTTATTCTTCTTTCTGGCCTCGGCTGAGACCAGCCTTAAGCATCATTTCCCCTAACACGTTTTTCATGTTCTCCTCAATCCAACCCGATCTAAGCCTCCAATTCTCATCTCTCCCTCAGCTTCCTTTTCCAGTGCCTAAGAACAAATTCAGCAAAATGAATCAACTGACCCTAACTTCGTTACTCCCTCACTTTATTCCCCAATTGAAGTATCAACTAATCCTTCATTCCTTTCTTGTTGAATCTGAACTCTAACAACTCTCAATTAGAAATCCCTGCATTTCCTCCTTCACCAGACTACTGCCTCTACCCGTTTTATTCTTCAAAACCTAGAAACATAATCTCAAACTATGGACTTCAAAGAATCTCTCCCCTTATTTCTATCGATTCGAACTCAAGCACAAATAACAGTTTAAACCAGTCAAGTTTCAACAGATATAGGTCAGAGATGGGGATAGTGGTAAAATTATTCTTGTTTGTTGCTGTGAAAACTTACGAATTGAGATTGGAAACGAATTAACGCAAATGAAACATAAAAATGGATGAGTAAATACCTGTTGTTGAGAGCGAGGCTTGAATGAGGATTTTGGAAATGTTGGGACTGTTGTATTGTCTCTGTTTGCAGGGACAGAGGAGATGGTGGAGACTGGATTGATTTTGGAACGCTGAGGATGACTTGAGAGGCTTTTGGAGCTGGAACTTGGGAGGATTATAAAATCGAAAGATTGCTGTTGTGATGATTAGGGATTCACAGAGGCGGGAAGGGATTTTTTTTTCTTTTGGTATTCTTGGGATCCAGAACAACAACAAAAAACCATAAATGAAGAACAGAAACCCAGGTGTTCAAAGGAAACCCCAGAAATTCAAAGTAAAATTCAGAAATGAAGAACAGAAATCCAAAATTCAAACAAACCCAGAAATCTCTCGATTTCTCTTCTTTTCACCCTCTTCCCTTGATTTATCCTCTTCTTTCCCCCAAAATCGCCCTCTCTCTGACCTCTAAACCCACTATTTATGCCCAATTCTCTCAACCCATTCTGTTCTTGCCTGCCAATTCGTTTCAACCAAAAAAAAAAAAAAAGAAAAAAAAAACCTCTCTCCACTCTGTTATTCAATCTAACGTTCTAATCTTGTCAATTTGTTGCAGCACGACTTGCAGGCCAAACAAAGGAGGTTTGATGAGCGGGCTGGGAGTCAAAACATTTAGAAAACCAGGATCAATAGAAACCATTTTTTAGTTTTCGATTTGCAGGAAATAGTGAATGTTCATTCACCGTTAGACTGTAAATGTATAAAACAGTCCTCCTACTTCCTGAATGTTTCAATCGTATCCTTCATTTCCTTTCAATTATGCCCTTAATTTGTCTTTATTTTTTGTTTAATTTGGCCCCTAATAACTTCCAATTTCGAATCGATTTAATGCAATTATGCCCATTGATCAAATTTATCCACCAATTTTTGCAATTTATGTATTTTTTATTTTTTTGTTTCATATATATATTTTTTTATTTTCTTTTGATTGTCCTCTTTTCCTTTTTTTTTTTTTAATGATAATGAGTACTAAAAATAAATTGCATAAATTGATAAAATAGAGTAGCTAAAAATAAATAAAAAATGAAATGAAGAAATGAAAAATAAAATAAAGAACAGACTAAAATAAAAACTAAAAAAATAAAAATTAACTAAAAATAAAAATAAGATAGATAAAATTGAAGGAAAAAGTATAACAAAAAATTTAGGTTATGACATTCAAATTAATATTTATTTTTTTATTTTACTTTTTATTTGACAATAAAATTATCATCAAATCAGTTTATATTATTCGAGACTTTATCTTTTTTAGATATTTGAATTAAAAAAAAAAAAAGCAAGGAATGGAGATAACATGCTTGATCACTAAACTAATCCCTTGAAATTTGAAAGGTGTATATTCTAAAATTCGAATTCAAAAAATTAAAAAATATTTTTTTTACCGTCAAATCAAATTCATTAAATTAATATAATTATTAATTATGTAGAACTTGTATCTGTAACTATTCTTCATTGTACGTGTGTTTTTTCACGTCGAAAAGTTGTTTATCTTGTTATATGAGGTATCAATAGACTTTCATGATTAGTATTTAGCAGGGTAATAATTATTTTATATCTCAGATCTTACAGAGTACTTCCCCCTCGTCGAGAGTAATCCCACCTTCCTGGTTTTATTATTATTATTTTCTTTTTGCCTTTTGTAGTATCGTTAGGTTTCTTTGAACAGTGAAATTAATGTCTTTTTTTCTTTTCATCCTTTTTCGACAAGTAAGAAAAGATTTCTTTTGGATAACTTTGGACCCGTAGCTAGAATACAAGTAGGCTTAAGCCCATTGTCAACCTGTTAGATCTAGATATATATAGATCCCGTCCACTCACAGAAAATTTCACTGTTCTCTCTCTCTCTCTCTCTCTCTCTCTATTTATATTTTCAGATTAGACACATCGTTGTTATACCCAAGGCGAAGAAGTTCATCCACAAGCATGACACATTGATGAAGCAGCTAAAAAAAATTAGACACAGTTAAAATGCATCTTCTGCTCCAAACCATGTCAGCTGCCAGACACATTAACAAAAATAGTGGAAATTTCATTGACAATCACCGCGGCAAGATACCAGAAACAGTCATTTGGTTCACAGAAGGATCTGTTGATGAAAACTTGTCAATTGGATCCATTTTTCCTAGAGAAAATGCAGGTTGTTTTGGTTGAGGAAGAGCTATTGGGTCACTTCCCAGTGCTAAAACAACAAATGATATTGTGGGCCTATCTGCTGGATCTTCCTGCACACATAAAAGCCCGATATGTATGCACCTCATAATTCCTGCTGCTGGGCTTCTTTCCACCAACAAAGGATCCACAAATTCCATCGCTCTCCCTTCACTCCACAGTCTCCATGCCTGTCCATTTACATTCAAAATAATAGTCGTAACATTACCTTTTTACAGTTTATTTGTTTCAATCTTGAAAGTTTTATAAGGAAAAATTTTTAGGGTTACGGAGAATATTGTACATACATATGCTAATATTGTTTGGCCATGTTCTGAGAGGCAAAAGCCGCTACTTCTTTTCCCACTTATGATCTCCAGTAGGATAACACCAAAGCTGAAGACATCTGATTTCACTGAGAATAGTCCCAAAATTGCGTATTCAGGAGCCATGTATCCGCTGTTGTGCGCATGAGGATTCCCATAAGTTATGAAATTGTCAGATTAAATCATTAGAAAACAAGAAAGAAAAAAGAGGTGAAAAAAGATGACTTACAATGTTCCTACTACTCTTCGAGTGTTAGCTTTGTTCTGATTTTCGCCGAAAATTCTAGCCATGCCAAAATCTGAAATCTTGGCAACCATCTCATGGTCCAGCAACACATTGCTTGGCTTTAAATCCCTGTGAATGATTCTATGCCGGGAATCCTCGTGTAGATAAAGAAGTCCTCTAGCAATGCCACCGATTATGTTGTAGTATGTCTCCCAGTCAAGCCGTGAACGTCTTTCGGCATCTGAAAGTTGAACCAGAAGAAAACTAAGCCTGTTGTATCGTTTAATAGTTGAAAATATAAAACTCAAGAAATTTTTCTAAGGCAAAAGAAATTAACGAGACAGACCAAAAATAAGGATATCAAGGCTTTTGTTAGGCATAAACTCATATATGAGCAGTTTTTCCTCTCCCTCTATGCCACATCCCAATAGCCTTACTAGGTTTCGGTGTTGAAGCTTTGCAATTAGTTTGACTTCATTCTTGAACTCCTCTAAGCCTTGCCATGACTTTCTTGACAACCGTTTAGCAGCTACTTCCTTCCCATCTGTTAACACACCCTTGAAAAGAAAAAAAGTTGCTTTGAGGCATAAATTTTGTTGATGAAGCAATGTTTAAGCTATGTGTCAATTAACTGAATACAAAAAAGGTTTTTCTCTTTGGGAAGGACAGGAGGACACAGCTGAATCTCAGTAGATCTTGACAGCAACGCCACTTTGCGATGCACGTACCTTATAAACAGTGCCAAACCCACCTTGTCCAAGCTTATTTGAATCGGAGAAATTGTCCGTAGCTGCTTTTATAGTAGTTAAGTCCATGAAAGGCAGGTCTTCAGAACTTACCAACTGACCTCCTTCGGTCATTGTGACCCCTCTTGGGCTTGCTAATTCCTGTAATAATGCTAGGTGACTTCTTTCCACATCTGCCAAAAATAGGAGTTTTGGATTTTAGAAATTCTTATTAAATTTAGTCTATTTAAAGTGGCTGATCACTTGGTTTCGTTACCTCTCTGTTTCATTCTTTTTCTCCTCAGACAAACAATAAAAGATCCAATGATCACTGCAAGCACCATTGTAGGTATAAACACAATAATTGCCACCATCTTCCAGTTACTCCCTGCCTTGCAAAGTTTCAATTTATAAAAACAAATAATTAATCCCTGAAAGTAAGAATTTCAAGACCATATCACTTTAAGAATGGACAAGGATTCTGGAGAATTTGGAGCTAATACATTACCTTTCAAGGCATGAATTAATTGTAACAATATATATCAATAGCAATTCGGTTCTTTTGAGTACTGTCAGCAATTTGAAACACCAAGTGGTACAACCCTTTCTTACTAAAGTGTAGTGCAAAACATGATAACTCTCTGTTCGTTGACAGTTTATCAGTATAAACTAATCCTGGTTACTCACCTTTAGGATTTGGGAATGTTATTAAGTAACTTGAGGCGTTGTAGTATTTGTAGAGCCCAAATCTGACATTGCAATTTCTACTAACAATAATTCCACCTTGGTGCGAAGAACAGCATCCTTTGAGATCAATTAAAGCAGAAGTCAAACATTTCTGACACTCATCTGCTCTGACATCCCTAGTGCACTGCACATGGCCATATATGGTTTCGTTCCTTGAAAACTTGATTTCTCCAGTTGCAAACATGAGCTTTGAAGGATCGAACGCAGCCTCATTTGACAGTTTGTCAATCAAGAACTTTACAGTGTCAAAGAAATGAACAGGATCTGATACGGATTTCTCATGAGAATCCAAGTCTGGATACTTCCCGGCATAAACATACAAGGAAGTCATATTCTGAAACGAATATTGAATTTGGCATCGTTCATACCATATGATTGCATCTGTACTTGTGCAATTTTTCAAGATTTCTTGGCTTGCATCTCTCAAGCAAGTCTGACAAGCACTTGAAGAGACATCTCCTCTACAAAGTGCTTGGCCATGGACTTTGTCAGGGGTTTTACCAATAGCCGTGTTGTTATAGCCGGTTGATGAAGTGATGGAAGGTAAGGTTTCAAGAAGATGCTTCAGGTTGTTTTCAAATGGGCTTCCGAGATCATAGTTACCATAGTTAGTTGAACAAATTGTGAATAAAGGGTCGGCAACAACAAGGGCAAAGAGCTCTGAAAGCAGTAGAATCATGAAACACATGACTAAAAGTGCATGTCTAGTTATGATCAAATTTTTGAAGAACATATTATCAAAAATTTCGACAAGAAAAGCAATAAAAAGCTTGGATTAACATGAGTAAAAAATGGCTGCAGGGATTTCATTTTCGAAAGCGTCTTCAAGATATAAATTTTCAAGCGGCAAGTGGGAGATAGACTGGAAACTGTAGTGAGGAAGCTATCAACCTTGTAGAATTTGGGAATGCAATGGATAGAATGTAAATACTTAAATTTGACCAAGACTTATACTTAATTTGATCAAGACTAGTACTCATGCATGCTACACAGTACCATTGATTTAATACTTAATTTGACCAAGACTAGTATTAGCATTCAATCAAAGATTTTCTAAACAAGAATTTTGCTGCCATAGCTAGCTCAAAACTATATTTGCATAGCAGGAAGATAAAAAGGATAAATTACAAAAAAAAAAAAAAAAAAACCCTCATATATTATAAAATTACACGGAGTGTATAAAATTAAATTTTCGTTCCTTCGTGTTTAAGTAAATATTACAAAAATCTTTTTTTGTATCTAAAATATTCTTAATATTTTAAAATCATCATGTTTAATAATGACTTTTTAAAAAACATTAAAGGAATTTAGGGTAGAAAGAGAAAAAATTTTAATATCTTCTAACTTTCGAATGATTTCTATAATTTCATGATACCTCAAAGTAATTTTTTTTTTAATTTATCAAATTAAAAATTTGCTGCCAAATTATACTTACTACAGCATCCAAACTGGCAGATTAGGAAAAAAGAATAAAATAAAAATGATGGATATTTGAAACAACGCATTTTTTTGTCAATCTGATCACTTCTGAAGAAAAAAGAATTTCAAATTGTTGCTGTTAGGAGGTAAAGAAGCAAAAAAACTAGATGCAAATGATGCTTACAATAGTAACATGAAAAAATCGTTGCCAATTAAAATTACAATAGCAACAAAAGCTTGTTACTGGTGATCAATACCCCAACAATTTAAACTCTTGTGGCCATTTAGATCACATATCGCAGTAATGCATATCAATTAGAATTTGATTAATGAAATATATAATGATCAGTATGCTAACAGGAAACAGATCCAGAGGCCACATATACCAATCTTTTGCGAATGGCGACCGAGTAATTTATTCAAAAAATAAGTCATTGCATGGGTTAATGTAGTGACATTTTATACATTGAATATGATAGTCCGGGTTTCTTGCATGATGAGCATCTTTTGAAAAGATTGGTCATGAAATTCGTGGTAATATGGTTGCATTTATGATCTGAGATTACTGACTAAACTCATAATTTGATATGATCAACATGGCTTAAATTATTGACTTATTAGATGCACAGCCCTACTGTTAACAATAGCAAAATATCCAAAAGGGAATTTGAATATTTGAAAAAAAAAAGAATATTCAATAGGGAATTAACAACAGAATTGGAATATTTTGTTCTTTAGTTTGAAAATTTATGTGTTGAAAATATTATTATACGGCTTAAGGACCAACATTCTATATTTGACTATTCTCCAAGAAAAAGAAAATTAATACTTTGTCAAAACTTATCTTAGTTGAACTTGAACTTGTCCTTGATTTTGAATTATTCTTTATTCTTAGTAGGACTGCTTGATTTTAATTAATCTTAACTAGATAGGGCCAACTTGCAGGAAGTTATTGACATGGTTTCTGGTCCTCTTAAATTTATTAGGGAATATGATAAAAATCTCTATTATGAGCAAATATATCCATACACACATGATTGTCTTTCTAGCCTAATTACAAACCCGGATAACAGCTTGGAGGAACGGAAATAAATCTAGGACATTGGCAATCGGACGTACATATATACTCTAAATATTAACCATAGTAAATCTCAAACGTTTGTTAGATTAGGGTTGCAATTTCCACGAGAATGTTCAAAACCTAAGGTCTCCCTTGAAGGAAGACAACAAGTATGACAAAGGGTTCTTTCACTTTTTTTTTTTTTTTTTTTTGAGGTCGATCATTTCCCCGCTGTCAACAGGAGCATCATTTTTTGCAAACGAAATCAAAGCATCCCTGAGATATCTCCAATTCCGTGTTAACTCAACTGTATTGTTTCACCCGCTAGGACATGACTGACCACGGCCTGTACCACATTGTTATTTATTGCTATTGACAAAATATCGTAGTTGTAGAATATATATACACACAACAGATCAACAACCACTTGGCATATTCCAATCTGTCAACGACTTGTTCTAAGGAGTGGGGCTCAAAGTTTTCTTCGTAGAATATACAATCAACAGTACTATTACACATATATTTGGTAATACATAATAAGTGTATTAAAAAATAAAAAAAAAGTAAATTTTAATTTGCTCTCTTGAAGTTTATTTGTTGTCATAATTTCACTCAAAATCTTTGATTTGTTTCAATCAGCTTCTACATCTTTCACTTTTGTTCCAATCAGCTTCCACATCTTTCATTTTTGTTCTAATTTTTCACTTTCACTAATTTTAATTTCATCACTAAAGTTTATAAAATATCCCAAAATCATATAAAAAGTAACGAAAAAGAAACTAACAAAAATAAAAATAGAGAATTAATAGGAATTTTTTATTTATTTATTAAAACAATTGTGATAAAACTTGAGAAAGTTAGTTCTTTGGAAATCCTCAAACCTTACCAACTTTAATTCTCACTTAACATATATCCGACGCGTTGTCGCCGGATGAGTTATATAACATTCTTATGCATTTATTCATATAAAATTTAACATTTATAAATCATTATTTAACAATAGCATGCAAAAAAATTCAAAAAAAAAACTACAACATATATTTCATAATTTGTCTGCAGGATTAGCTAAACGAAAAGTTTATAAAGTTGAGTAATATAATGTTGCTAATTAGATATTGTTTGATATAAACATGCATTTTATTTAAAATATGTCTAATAAATGACAATTAAAATAATAATGTTATAGTTTTTTGAATTTTTGATGATTAATTTTTACCATATATTATTCATCTGTAATTTGTTAATGAGACGGAGAGACTACCCAAAACAAAAAGACAAAAAAGCTTTATCAAATCGAGAATTTAGCCAAAAAAAAAAAAAAAGATAAAATTATACACTATAAAAATTAAATGATTAAAACAAAGTAAAGATCATAAAAAGGATAAAAATAAATAAATAAACTTTCACTAAAAGCATACAAAACAAAACTTATAAACAATAAGACTAAGAAAAATTCATTATGCATAAGGCAAGAACAAAAGTAAACATTATAGAATTTTAATGATCAAAATAAAAAAAACTAATGAAATAAGAATCAAAACAGAAAATTTTTTCACTAAAAAAAAAAAAACTTAGAATAGTTAAAATTAATTTATTTTAATGTAGAATGAATAATAATCAAATATAATAAAAGTTTAATGATCAAAATAACAAAAACTTAGAATACTTTAATGATCATAAAACAAAAACCAAAATATAACAAAAAGTTTTACTAAAAGTAAAAAATAGTTCATTGTAGCAAAAAAATTTAATGATCAAAATAAAAAATAATTACAAAAAAAAGACTTAAAAAAAATTCTACTAAATTTAATGACGAAAACAAAGAAAAAATCACAAAAAAAAAAAAATAGAATAGAAAGAAAACTTAATTAAAAGAAAAAAAAAACAACCTTAGGATAGTAAACTTTATTTAGTTTTAGTATAGCAAGGATAAAAATCAAATATGAAAAAAATTTAATGACTAAAATAAAAACATATTAAAAAATAGAAACAAAAAAAGAACTTAAATTTTTACTAAGAGATAAAAAAAAATTTATTATAAGGATCAACATCACATATAATAAAATTTTAATATTTATGATAGGGATAAAAATCAAATATAAGAAAATTTTACTGAACAAAATAAAATAAAAAATAAAAAGAAGGGACCAAAATAAAAACCAATTTCCTAAGCGAGCAATAGCATGTCCGAAACGAGACAAAAAAAAAAAAAAAAGGCATGCGCGTCGGGCCCAGGCTGCTGCCGAAGACCCCAAAAAAAAAAAAAAAAGACATGCGCATCGGGCACAGGCAACTTTTGACGAATCGAGGTCGCTGGAATCTTTGTCGGAAAATCGGATGTCAAGTTTCAAACCTCTAGAAATTGAATTCCGGCATCATTTTTTTCTCAAAACACCTCTAAATGATCGAAATAAAGTCAATAAACATATCTAAAACCTTAAAAATCATTTTAATGCACATAAAAAAAAATTACACAATCAAATCGAAATATTGTTTCTTTTTTTGGCTCCGATCTACATCATCTAATTGTTTAATAACTTGAAACAATCATTGACAAACTCATCTCTTAAAGATAAAAAAATTTAGTGGATTTTCGCTAATCAAAGTGGCTTAAATAAGCTTGGCCGGCGATCTCTCTCTCCTCCAGTCTTTCTCTTCCCACCTTCCTTCTCTCTCATCCAATGATCAAAATGAATAAACAAATGAAGATGTGGATCGAAAGATTCACCGACAAAGATTAGGGACCAAAGTATAAAAAATCAATGAATACTAAAATGTTAGTGTATGAAGTATTTGGAACAGTAAATTAACGTTTTGTTTTAGTTTATTTAGTTAATATTTTCCTTTGTCAATACTATAGTTAAATGAACATTAAGATTCAAAAATAGTTTTACTCTCTTTCTTTCATTCTCATTTTAATTTTATATTTTTTTGTGTGTGTCAAAACTTTCATCATTTTAATCCTTCTCAGCTACCATGTCTCATTCTTTTTTTTTTTTTTTTTAATTATGTGTAAATAAAACGTGATGTCAAAATGTTTCTATTTTAAAAAGCGGAACACAAACGAAAGTTACGTAATCTAATTGAAACAAAAATAAAAAAATTTAGGTGAAATTAAAACAACATATAAATCTCAAGAAGGACAAATTAAAAATTTATCCTAAAAAAATGACTCATATATATATATATATATATAGTCATTTTACGGATCAAGAACAGTTCTTGTACTTGTTCTATAAGAACTAACAATATTCGTTCGATAGACAATTCTTTCTTGAACTTACCTGACCTTGATTTTGCATTCAATTCTTTTTAGGACTACTAAATGTAAACATAAAATTCTTGATTCAGTGGCTTTCTTTCGTAATCCTCAAACTAAAATGAACAGCAGAACATATCTTTGCAACGCTTTATTTTTAGACTTACGATATTTTTCATTTTGAGAATATTCCAGCAAAAAATAAAGTAATAATAGTCAATCTCAACAATCGATAATTCCAGCCATTTGCTAAAAAATATATTTTCTAGTTTTTCTCTCAGTCAGTCACGTGGTTACTACTATTGCTTACGATAGGGCCCAATGCAAGAATCTGTTGACTTGCTTTATGGCCCTCTTAAAATTATTAAGGAATGTCATCAAGACATCAACATTGCAATATTCCTGAAGATAATATCAAAGAATATATCTATGTCACGGTCCATACTTGACCCCTTCCATATTTATGTGCTAGTAGGTGCATTTTGCACGAGAATAGTTTAAATGTTTGTGAACATTTTCCACGAGAATGTCCAAAAGCTAAGGGTTTTCTGTGCATTTTTTACGAGCATGTCTAAAAGCTAAAAGGTTTGTGTGCATTTTTCACGATAATGGCCAAAAGCGAAATATACGTACGTAGCCACTCAGGCCTTTCCCATTTCTTCCCCAATCCAGTATTGGCCATCTAGTTTTTCCTAAACTTAATACATAAACTTAAATTTCAAAAGAAGAAACAAAAGGATATTAATGCTATTCATTGGCGGATTATCACAGAAAAGGGAGGCTATGCCCCAAAAATGCTTGTATGTAACCCTTTGCGTTAACTATAAAAATGCCCTAATATTGCCTATTACTAATACGAAAAATCAAATTTACTAGTAACGTTGACAAATGTTTTCATTGTCGTCCTTTAATCGAACATTACCTATTATTAATTTTAGATTTATTAACTAAAATTAAACCCTCTTCTGATATAAATTAATTTAACACCCTCTTGTAAATTGAATTTTTTAAAAATAAATAATTAATTGCATTTTTTTATTGATCAAAATTAAATATATTCTTAAGATATATTTAAACTCAAACATAAAATACAATATTGTATTAAATACTATATAATACATATTAAATAAAATAAATTTCTATAATTAATATTGATTAATTTTTATTTTGCACTTAGGTTTTTTAAGGTAATTAAAATATCAAAACATATTATATAAATTTATCTATACATCTACAGAAACGGGCGGATAATGTGCTAGTAATGCATATAAAAGAATCCAATGAATACAAAATTTCTCCTTAACAATACAGTATTTGTCAACCCTTGCAAAGTAACTAATTTTGTTAGCATCTGCCATTGATGCTAACAGTGTCTATAGACTTCCGAGATGAAATTGATCAAGAACATTGTGCTGCAAATGAGAGATACTCCATTATAAATGAGAATAGTAGGCTTGTGCTCCATACAAAAAAGAAAAAAAAGAAAAAGAATAATAATAATAATAAAATATGCACATTAAAAAAAAAAGTAAAAATACAGGGATAAAAAACTGGGATTAAACCATTGCTTGTGCAATAAAATTTTACAAAGGCACGTTCCTCGTAGTGGTCTGTGAACCTCCTAACAGAAATTGTTTAGCCATTGACGGAATAATTGCTAGCATTTTCCTCGTAGTGGTCTGTGAATCTCCCAACAGAAATGGCAGGGCGTTGAGGTTGGGGAAGAGTTGAGTTGACACTTTTCAGCATTAAAACAACAGAAGACATGGCAGGCCTTTCATGAGCATCTTCTTGGACGCATAATAAACCGATATGCACGTATCTGGAAAATTCATCTGAACAGCATGAATCAGCCAACAATGAATCTATCATCTCCAGTTCCTTTCCATCGTTCCATAATTCCCATGCCTGATTCATCATTGGAGGTGTAATTAATTAATCATTTTTTCATCAGAGTGTTAATAAGTGATGGTGTATATTCTGAGCCAAATAAACGTACATAAGCTAGAAGGCTAGGAGCACGTTCCGTTTTGTGGAATCTACAATTGTTTCTGCCAGTTATGATCTCAAGCAGAAGAACTCCAAAACTAAAAACATCAGATTTTGTGGAGTAAAGTCCCTCCATTGCATACTCCGGTGCCATGTATCCACTATTACACAAAAGGGGAAGAAAGTTTTTAGTGATCCTGAAATCATAAATATCAAACCGGTCCCATGTGTTCCCAGAAGCGAGTGGAGACAGAGGTGGGGAATCAAATTCTAGACTCAGAAAAGTTTGAAACATGAAACACGGCAAATGATGGACCATGTCATTAAACTTTCTGACATTATTGTCAGGGGAATCAGGTAAATAGTGAAGTTATAAAATTTAATATCCATGGATAAATCAGGTGAAAATTTACTTACTATGTTCCCGCTATCCTAGCTGTATTGGCTTCGCCTTCATTTGCTTCGAAGATCCTTGCCATTCCGAAGTCCGAAATCTTCGGGTTCATGTCACTGTCCAACAGGACATTGCTAGCTTTCAGGTCCCGATGAATGATTCTAAGCCTAGAATCCTCATGGAGATAAAGAGTTCCCTTTGCAATTCCATTTATAATATTGATGCGACTTTTCCAACTGAGTTGAGCACGTTTCCAAGAATCTACAGTTGAAAGAAAATTGATAAGAAATGAAATTCAGTTTTTAATTGTATTTGAGATTAATGAAGGAAAATAATTTCTACCAAAGAGCTTGGAGGTCTCTTGCAAGTTCAAATCTTAGTAGGATTAATTCTTTTAGGAGCCTTAGGTATATGAGTTATAAAAAAAATAAAAAAAGGGAAAATAATTTCTGAAACATTAAGAAAGTTATTAAAGAAGACTAGTTACCAAAGAGGACAACATCTAAGCTGCTGCTAGGCATGAATTCATATACCAGAAGCTTTTCCTCTCCATCGACACAAAAACCAAGAAGCTTGACAAGATTTTTGTGCTGAAGTTTCATCATTAGCAACACTTCATTTGTAAACTCATTTGCGCCTTGCTCAGACCATAATGCAAGTCTCTTTACTGCTACTTCCTTTCCATCACTCAGTAGGCCCTTCAAAAATATAAAAAATGAAATCAGTAAAGCCTCTTTTTATTTCTTCGGGCTTGGAGATAAGATATTATCGTAATTCTTTTACCTTGTAAACTGGGCCAAAACCACCTTGCCCAAGCATGTTTGATTCAGAAAAGTTATCAGTAGCTGCATTTATAGATGTCAAATCAATGATTGCAGATTCTTGATCACTAAGGCCATCTCTCTGAAACTTATGTGGCTGGAATTTTTTGTGATTTGGGTGACCAATCCCACGAAATTGACCATCTTGACTTGTATTTTCCCTCTTCCCTGTATGACAAGATTCATGATGTAAACCAGTGTTACAAAGAAAACCAAAAAGAAAATGTTAGTGATTTTCATAAGAAGCATCCTTGCATTGTCGCATCCTGATTTTCATCGCTAGACGGTAGATGAAGGAGCCTAAAAGTGCTAGCACCAATAGTGTCGATGCGACGATACTGATGGGAATTATCCATATTTTGTTTTCCTTGCCTGCAATTAGGGAAAAGAAATTATTTCCAGCGCATGAAGTATAATTTTTTCGTTGGCAAATACAACCATATATAACCAACTTTTATGTCATAATTGATCCACAAGCAAATTACATACCTTTTCCTGTCATCTGATTTTCAGAAGAATCGGTTGCACCGTCATAGAAAGCATATAACTCATACCTTAAATAGCAACTGCGGCTAAAAACCCTTGCCCCACGGGAAAAACTGCAACAGGTCGTAACATTTGCTATGGCAACCTCAAGGCATGTGTAACAATCATCTGGAGACAAGTCTGTTGTGCACTGCACTAGAGAAAAGAATCTGTCACTACCAGTGAAGGGTACTTCTCTAGTAGCGTACATATTTGCTGAAGGATCAAAAGCTGCCTGCTTGATAAGACTACTCAAAGTTTTATTGACTACTAATATAAGCTGTTCTGGATTTGAAATGTTCTTCGGATTTTGTTGGGGAATGTTTCCTGAAGCATCCAAGTGGCCTAAGAAAGTTTTATTCGAGTAGCGCAATTGACACAGCTCTCCCCATACAACTGCTTCCTTAACTCCTGGACAAAGCTGCATGATAACTTCAGATGCTGCAGTTATGCAGGTACGGCAGCTTTCATTTGTTACATAGTTGAGGCACATATATTGAGCATACACTTTGTCAGGGTCAATTCCAGTAGAGGTATTGGAAATTTTTGAAACGGAAGCATTTGAAGGAAGAGAAGACATGAGGGTCACAAGATTGTTTTGAAATGGACTATTGGCTTCATAGTTGGAATTGTTCGAGCAAAGGATGTTTGGAGGATCAGCATAAGCAAGATGAAGGTTGGCAATGAAAAAATACAGCAAAAGCATTTGAATGGTTTTCTCAACTCTTTCGATATCGGGATCCATATCTTTTGTTTTGAGTCTTCGATGCTAACTATCATGAATCGTCTCTAATCTGTACCTGATACTGTTTTCCGTATGTCTTCTTTCACCTTACAGGAGAGCATATATATAAAAAGCAGTCAAAGGAGGGGCATCCATCAGTACAGCAAATGGGAAATTTCTTTGAAGAATTGGGCTGAAATCATAGCAAGTAGCAAAATTGGGATCAAGATTTGTGTTAGTTTCTAGAACTGTTACAATCCTAATTGACTACTTAATTTTTGCTTTTTCCACAAGGATTGTGAATGCATGTACATGTACGCAAAAAGAAAGAAAAAACAAAAATATAGAAAAGAAAGAACTTGATATGCATGGTCAACAAAACTATATTGGACTATTCGATTAATATTGAATTTTTAACAACGATCTACTATTGGTATGTGGTTTCCAGGAAGTTAATGATTTGACCTGGACTGGCTGTTTTAACCAATGTAGCATGGTGACATAATTAATTAAAGATTCAACATAATGATGTTCGTCTATGAACAACAATTCTGTGCTTGAACAAGACTTTGTTTTGTGATTCATATTTCTTAATTGGAAAACTGTAAGAAACTACATTTTGGATCGGTCCACTTGCAATTCATTTTTTTTTTTTTTATGAAGATCCATAAACTTAGATTAAAAATTAGCAAGATGGTGGCTGGAAAAAAAGTACAAGCAAAGTTACAACAATTAGAGTCAAGCTAGTAATTCTTCTTGCCTACTAATACTATGTTTAGCTAAACTATCAGCTACAACATTTCTTGCTCTATTCACTCTGCCAAGAAAAACAGATCCCAGATTTCTAAAAATAAAATAATACTATTAAAATCAGAATCTAACATCCAAATTAAGAACTCTTGTGAACCTAATTGATAGTATTTGAGTAGTCTGATTCAACAATGCAACAGATTTGTTGTGCAAGGAGACGAGAAATACTCATCTCTAGAACCATTTTGATCGCAAGAACTTCTGTTTCGTTGGAGTCTCTGACACTAGTTGGACCTGAAAATGCATAAGAAATGCCCCTCCTTATCTCTAAGAACATCACCAATACATGAATGAGTCGGTTTCTCCATTGCTAAACACCTGGCTTCATCCAATCTTCAACTACTCGATTTTGAATTTGGTTGGACCAATAGTGTGTACCATTCGAGTTGCGAAGTAGATCATTGTATGTGTATACAAAATTGTCATCGATAACTTTTGTCCAATAAGAAATTATATGGAAGAGAAGGGAAAACAAATATTTATAATCTGGATTCGCATTATTAGAAACCAGATTATTCCTCACTAACCATATGGTCTACACCAAAAAGAATAAGACCAAGTACCATACTTTCTTTGCAATTTTCCAACAAAGGGATTTCCAAAAGAGAAGAAATCCTATTGTTGGACAAGATCATCTACATTCTTGGTATTGCCCATAAACACCTTTAGTAGCACATTAATTTAGAGCATAAACACGAAGTTTAACGACAATAAAGAAGTAAATGATATGCAATTTCTACCTCCAATTCACAAAATGGATACAAATTATTATTCCCATCCACAAGGCCAATGTGATAGAAAAAGTCTCTAGTGTGTAACTTTTCATGTACTAACCCACCATATGAAAGCTTCTATTTTCGAAAGAGCTAATGATTTCTACGCATGAAAGCTATAATAGATTCATTATCAAGCTGTATTGAATTAAGAACTGAACAGCAAGATTTGACAATATAAATTCCTCTTATATCATGAATCCAAACCCACTGATCCTCCACTTCTTGGCACAAATCCACAACCCTATGCCACAATATGCCAAACTAACTTCCAAATCCATCAAGAATCACACAGCATACCCATGTCAGTAAATGTCATCCCAATAAGTAGATAAACGACTAGAGAAGCATAGTAAGCCTGACCATATTATACTTTTATAAAATAAAAGATTGCCAACCAAAAACACTACTAAATAGCTTTCAAAACCATTTGAAAAGTAAAGCTTTATTTTCACCATAATTGATCTGAAACTGATCGGGATCACATTTTCTCGCTAATTTTCCATAGGATTGCTTAGTGGGCAAAATTTATGGATGAATGCTTTGTCTATTTAGGCAATAATATGGATCGATGTTCAGATTGCATCAAGGTATGGACTAACTATCCAAAATCTCAGCCAATTATCATTTGGTCTAAGCCTTATCTAGGCTCTCTAAAATAGAATATTGATGGATCATCTTTGGGCAAGTTTGGGATTTTTGATGTTGGAGGAGTTTTAAAAAGTCCCAATGGAATTAATTTTATTTGCATTTTCTCTATCCTAATAGGGATCAAGAAATTCAATGAGGTTAAGGTTATAGCAATCATAAAAGCTTTGGTGATGAGAACACGCCTAGTTGGATGGCTAGAGAACCCACGAACAAGAAGAAAGAAAATCCGTAAAGCCGGATCGGATTGGAAAGATATGGATGTCACACTACGAAAGGATAGAAAGGGAGTGATATGTCACTCGAACGCCACAAGAATCAAATTAGACTCTTGATAAGTTTTGAAATTCAGTTCTAGAAAGAATTAAGGTGTGAATTTTCTCACAAAGGTTGATTTGATTTAAATATTGATTACACCCAAAAATACATGATGTTTTTACATAAATAGGTGTTGAAAATTCAAAAAGACATAGTTGATTAAAGTTACATAGGATCTAACAATCTGGAATATTGGATCTAACAAAGTTTTCGGCCCCAATGCTTGATTTTGTTGACTTGAAAATAATGGTGACTTTGGCTTAGAAGTGGGTTGATTCTATAGTTGCCGCTTAAAAATTTTGGCCCAAAAGATCAAGATAAGAAAGTTCGGCCAGATTGAACTTTAAGTCTAAAACTTTCGACACAATAGCATGGATAAGGTGCACAAGGCCCATTTGATGGTCTTCAAGCCGATTGATGAAGAATTTGACCCAATAGCTTTGTTTATCATTAGGAAACCCACGGCCTAATCAGCATGCATTCCTTTTGCCCAAATAATAATTGAATTAGCTCATTTCGATCTAGGTTTAATTCATGTTATGGGCTCATTAATTTCAACCCAAATACCAAGCTTTGACTCCTTTTAAAACCCATTTTCATGCAAATCAACCCATGTGAATTTTGTTAAGCTCAAATTTCTTCATGGAATAATCCATTTAATTTTGCATAATCTTGCCCCCTCCCTCCGTGATCATATCATACCCCCACTCTTCAAAAAGATTCGTCCTTGAATCTTCGACTTTATGTCAAATTCATGCCTTGATCAATGAGTAGTAGTATCAAACCATGTAAATATAATAGACTTTGAGCCATGAACAACTCTAGAAAAGTTAGTAAACAACGGCACACCAACATGTGTCACATAAGCGTCACAAAATGATGTTTTGAGACTAATAATTAGAGGACGATAATCATGAATAAGAATAGCGACGAGCATGCTCGTTGTCTTCACTAATAACAATAACTTTCTTGCTGGAAGTCATAAAATTCTCGACAACAATAAAGTCAAAAACATGAACTTTATTTGCTGTATAGTCATGGTTAGAAATAACTAAAACAACATCACAACTCTTAGTTTCAACCAAACTAGCATAACAATTCTTGGTTTCAACCAAACTAGCATCACAACTCTTGGTTTCAACAAAACTAGCATCACCCTTGGTTAACTCTTGTCATCGTTATGAATGAAATTTTGAGTGCTCTCAACATCCACAAAGTCGGCCTCATTAACATCTTCTTTGGCAAGAACAACTTCAAAATTTTTAGAGGTCAAATCTTCGTCTTGGTGCTGAAATTTTTCAATAGAAGGTTTAACCACATTATTTTCTTTAGAATTTATAACTTCAATTGTCTTATTTTGTCGCTAGAGAGCTTCTTCTTCACAAAGTTTAATTATTCATCTCATACATCTTATTTCAATTTGTAGAGCCTTAAACGGATCCTTTGGCATTGGTCGTTCCATATCTCTTATTTCTACTTGCCACCAATCATGTAGAATTTGCTTTTTGGAAAGTGATGGTGAAAACATGATTTTTTTTTAATATCTACACAAAATGTTAGTGAAAATCTCGCAAACACTCTCTCACTTGTTTCTCTCGATTTGATGGCGCTCAACACTCATGTTTTCTTTCTTTTAGGTTTTTTCTTTAACACGCTCATAAACTTTAGCCTTTTACCACTTTAATTCATTCCTTTGGTTCTTTCACAAACTAATCCAAACCACTCAAGAACTAATCAATTACAAGTAACAAACAAGTGCATGAATTAGATTCACTTTTCAAGGATCGGATTTCGGATAGATTTGGAATAAGGAATTGAAAAACCAATTCAAATAAGAATTTTAAGTTTTTGGACAATAAGAATGACACTAAAACTAACTTCAAATGAATTTAATAAAGAAGATACAAGTTGATTGTTATGGAGAGAAATTGAAGAGAAACTAATCACAATCATTCGAGCACACAATTTAACATTTAGCTATCGACATGAAACGCAAAAGATAGACTTTTAAAGCTACCGATTTGAATCAAACTTGATAATGGTAACAAGCTGAATACAAAAAATTTAGCACACAAAATTGATGTTTTTAGCTACCGATTTAGGTAACCGAACTGATTTTTTTTCTTTTTCTTTTTAAAAAAACTACAAATTTCGAATGAAATGATACGAATTCGCTATAACCTTTTTTTCTTTCTTTCTTTTTTTTCAATGGCAAAATATCTCAACAACTCTTTTTTTGTGGTAGCCTTGGGACGTTTTCAATGTAGTGTTATGGTTTTTTTTTTTTTTAGATTTAGAACAAGAAGAAAATTTTAGAAATGAGATATTCACATGAACTAGTACCTTTTCAGTTTGAAAATAAACTTCGACCGTAAAGAAGATCTCTTGAGTTTTGATTATGAAAAATAAACAGAAATGAGAAGAATAAAAAACAACCCAAGACATGATAAACAATCACTTTATTAACTTGCC